TAAAATGTTGTCTCACATACTTTGGACATGTTACCAGGAGGGGCTAGTCCTTGGAAAAAGACATTATCCTGGGAAAGGTAGAGGGTTCACAGAAAGACAGAAAAGTCCTCAAAGAGATGGACTGATAAAGTAGCTGTAACAATGGGCTTGGCCACAGAGAAGACTGTGCTAATGGCCTTGGACAGGGAGGGAAAGATTCCAAAGTGCTCTTTACAGGGTCAAAATGAGTTGCAGTTGACCGAATGGCATCTGAGTGCAACAATACAATACTTCCTCTCCTATCATAGTTATCTTATTGCTGTTAGGTTTCATAAGGTGGTCCCCTACATCATGACAACGGTAAAGGAAAGAAACACCATCCAGACACCTCATGATGGTTACTATGTCAGAGTCCCTTGGGGGAAGCTACTGTCAGCTTCATAGAGTTTCCTAAAGAAATAGTTGCTAAGTCATTGAATGATTAGACTAATTCTCATGCTGTTAGGATTTTTGCATTCTTATTTTCTGAGACATCTAACTCAATGAGACAGACATTAACTTAGATGATGATTTGAGAAAAACTTTTTTGGCATTCAGAAACATTCTAAGAACTTTTTAGTAGTTTACACTAGAAATATCTACTGATTCAAAGAATCCTAACATTTGGCATTCTAATGAGATGACAGTCTTAGAGTCTTTTAAAAGATGGGCTAAAATATGTATGTTGTTGTTAAGTGCCATCAAGTCGCAGGCGACTCATAGTGACCCTATGAACGAAGTCCTGGACACTTCCTGTATAATTTTCATCCTTTCTCCAAGTTCATAGGGTTTCAGGAGGCAACCTATTGTGGAAGTGGATGCCACTCCTACTTCCAAGCTTGTTTTAATCGGGGAGCTTCACCAAACACTGTCCACCATGTGTAGCAGTATTCAGCTTCACAGCAACCATTAGTTACCGCTGTACAGCAAGTGGACATGCCAGGGTTACATAACCTAGAAATGTTTAAATATGTATACTGCATTGAAATAGATGAGGGAGAGAACTGTTTAGAATTGATATATGATTAGGTATTGTCATGACAGGAGTCCAGAAGGAAGACTGCATAGTGGAGTGGACTTGAGGGGAGGTATTTATAACAATGAAAGACTTTTTCTTTTATTTTTCAAAGAGAAGAGTGAACTACGGGGGAAGGGTGGTGGGCAGGGAGAAAAGTGAAACAATGTATGACTGGAAATCCAAAGTCTCTGTAAACACTCATTAAAATTAATAATAAAAATAATAAAAAATTACATTTAAAAAATATTCTTTACCACAGTACATATTGCTCAGCACATATTAGTTATACTGTTTTAACCAGGTAACCAGTTTTGATGGACTAATTCACAAAAAATAAGTCAAGACCAAAGACATCTTGCACAAGGTAAATGTGTAATAGCATTTGGTAAATGATGTTGGCTGGCAGAGCAGAGTAAAGGATAGCACGGGTGGTTTTACATTAACTTAAACGCACAGCTCTGAACTGACTCATAAGTGTTCAGGAGGCTGTAACTCCCTCGGGAAGAGAAGACTGCTCATCTTTCTCACAGAACAGCTGGTGGATTTGAACTTTCAGAGAAGCACTACACTTGATTAACAGCATTAAGTCCTTACAATGGACTCTGTCCCCAGAGTTCATCTACAAGAACACTGTATAGTAGTAAATATGGGGGAAATTAGAAACATGCTGCAGGTCAAACATATTTTTTTTATTGCTAGGTGCTGTTAAAAGACCAGTGTGACTCATAATTGATGCTAGAGCAACAGAAATAGGAGCAAGTTAGAAAGTTACAAAATTGTATAAGAAAATTTAAAATATGCCAAAACATTTTGTATCATTACAGATGCACAGTTTGCAGTAAAAGTTTAAAATCATGCAAAACCATTGTGGGGTAGCTTCTAGTGATGTTGTCCTCATCCTAAATCCTATAAGCATACACTGGGAATTTCCAACTTGGAAAAATAGTTACCCATAAGAGACAAAGGGGGGATTAAAAGAGATGGGAAAGAGGGCTTCAGTCATAGTTATTATTAAATAAACATATCTGAAGCAAAAACAGCAGTGGTAAAGTTTGACAAGCTATGTGGTGGATACAGAGATATGACAATTCTCAATTCAGAAAATATTTCCTAATGTATAAATTCCGGTACTACATAAAAAAAAATAATGACAACTTCTGGTTTCTGTAATAAAGCAGGTGTAATCATAGCCATTTATTTTTATTTTATAAAATTATCATACTGCTAATAAATTTGGAAATAAAACATTCTGTGTTCTCAAAAGAAGTAGAAAAAAGAGCACTATATACTATCTAAGTATGAAAAGAATTTGCAAAATTTTACACCAACTCACTTGTAGGGTTTCTGTTGTTTGTTGTTGTTGTTATGTGCTGTTGAGTTGCTTGCGACTCATAGCGACCCTATGTACAACAGCTCTAAACTCTGCTCTGTCCTGTGCCAATCTCACTGTCTCTGACACACTCATCCCGATTACCCCAGTCACCGAATCAATCTATCTCCCAGAGGGCCTTCCCCTCCTGTGCCTGCCCTCCACCCTCCCAAGCATGATGTCCCTCTCCAAGGACTGATCCCTCCTCACAACATGACCAAAGTATGTCAGACGAAGCCTCAGAATCCTTGCCTCCAAGGAGCAGCCTGGTTTAACCCTCTCAAGGATAAATCTGTTTTCTTAGCACTCCATGGCACCCTCTTTTCCAACACCAAAGCTCAAAAGCATCAATTCTACTTCTATCCTCCCTGGTCACTGTCCAGCTCTCTGATGCATAACAAGTGATTGCAAAGACCATGGCCTCTATCAGACGCACCTTAGTCTCCAGAGGGACACCATTGCTCTTGAGTACTTTAGAAAGGTCCCTAACAGTAAACTTTCCCATGGCAATATGTCTTTTAAGTCCCTGGCTGCTGGTGCCAAGAGTGTTGATTGTGGAGACAAGCCGACTAAAGCTGTGAACAATCTCAATCTCTTCACCATCCATCCTGATGCTACCAATTGGTCCAGTGGTAAGAATCTTTGTCTTCTTGACATTGAGCCTCAATCCATATTGAAGGCTGCAGTCCCTGACCCTCAGCAGCAAGCGCTTCAGGTCCTCCTCAGTTTCAGCAAGCAGGGTTGTGTCATCTGCATAACACAGATTGTTTATAGATCTTCCACCAATCCTGATGCCACATTTCTCCTCATAGAGCCTGGCCTCCCGGATGATCTGTTCTGCATACAAGTTGAAAAGGTATGGAGATAGGACACACCCCTGACGTGAGCCCTTCCCAATTTTGAACCATGCAGTGTTTTCTTGCTCTGTTCTGACGACTGCCTCCTGGTCCAAGCATTAGGTTTCACATTAGCACGAGCAAGTGTTCTGGGATTCCCATTCTTCTCAGAGTCAGACACAGTTTGTTATGGTCCACACAGTCAAACGCCTTTGCATAATCAATGAAGCACAGATAGACATTCCTCTGGTACTCCCTGCTTTCAGTCAATATCCATCTAACATTAGCTATAATATCCCTAGTACCACGACCCCTTCTAAACCCAGCCTGGAATTCTGGCAGTTCTCTGCTGACATGCTGTTCCAGTCGTTTTGGATAATGTTCAGTAGAATCTTGCTTGCATGTGAAATCAACGATATTTTTCTATAGTTTCCACACTCTGTTGGGTCACCCTTCTTTGGAATGGGAATAAATATAGCTCTCTTCCAGTCAGTTGGCCAGGTGATTGTTCTCCAGATTTCTTGGCACAACTTGGCGAGCACATCTAGGGCAGCATCTGTTAGCTGAAATATGTCAATTGGTAT